TTTTTTTTGGCACGTGGTTGTACCGCCCATCTGCTTACTCTGGGTGCCGACGTCTTCGTTCCGCCAGTGCCCGAGGACGAGCTGAGAGATTTCCATTTCCTCACCTCCAAGACGCACGCTGTGAAGTATTTCCGCGTGCCCGAGTGGATGGACACCGACAAGGCGAAGTGGAAGGTTTCCGACGTGTTGGTGTTTGGCGTCCTCGGTCAGTGACCGTTGGGCGCGTGGACAAGCTGAGGACAACAAGCTGAGCCTGGAAGAGCTGAAAGAAGCTAACCATAAGGCCTATCAGATGACTCGTGTAAGATGTGCTGAGCTGGTCCTGCAGTTGCCTCAATTGAAGAATCTTCGCACCAATCACGTGCATTTCACAGGCAGGCATGAGCATGCCAAACATCGACCCTGAGGTGGGTAGCCAAGTACTTGTACTGCATTGAATCGATACAGCTTTTTGTATTTCTTGTTTCTGACTGCATCCTTGGTGGAAAGAACTTGACCAGGAAATCAAGAAGCAGTTTGCAAAGGAGGAAGCCAAGTTCCACGAGCTAGATGTGAACAAGGAGGGTGCAACTCGCCTGCTCCAGTGCTAGATGCTTGAGTCATGGGGACTGATCATGGAGGTTGGAAAGCTTCATGTCTTGCGGATGCGTTTTCTACCTCTGTTTCTTTTGGACACGTCTTGTGGATCCATTTGCAGCATCACTCCAGGTACTTGGGCAGGAAGAGATGATCCTTTTCTTCCATCCCAATCTCGATCGAAGGGTCCGGCAAGCCGTCAGATCTGATTTGCCTGGATGCTTGTGATGCCAAGGTGTCCCTCATCGAAACCAAGCACCTGATGGAAATCTCAGATTTTGACCATGATGGTTTTTTGTCCAAGCGCCTTGGTGATCTAGCACCCAATCTTTGATTGATTGCACTGGCAGATCGATTTCTTCTTGACTGCCAAGGGCCGAGTTCGAGGCCCGGCAGTTCCCAGCAGATTTTGAGAAGGTGGACGTGAATGGAGATCCTTGGCAACTATTTCGTGGGATGTCAAAGATGCCCCAACGAAATTCTTTTCACCTAGTGGGAGTAGCTGAGTAGCTGGTTGCTATGCGCTCTTTCATGGCAGCCTCATTTTGGTGGTGTCGTCGGTCTGGACGTGAGGATGGGAAGCTAGATACCGAAGAGATGCATGAGTGGTCTGCGGGCCTCCTCGAATTCATCTCCATCATGATGCGACACTTGGAGCTCTTTCAATCACTTTGGCTGTTTATCTTTTTTTGTGTGTGGTTTGGGTATCCATCAGTCGATAGACACAAGATTTTCCTGAGGAGTGCGTGACATTGCAGACCATGACAAAGATCAAGCCCTATCACTGGACGAGCTGCTGAAAACGCGACAGTCAATCTCGAAGGAAGGCGGCGGGGCCGGGGGGGCTGCTGCGGCTCCACCACCCGGCACCACTCCATGTTGATATCACTTCATCTCCCAACCATGCTTTGTTTGCAACGGGTCTATGGTCCTGTTGGACAACACGATGCAGATTGTAATTGATTTGATGGCCCACTCACACCTGCAGCTTGGATGCTGCTGACCGCCTCCAGTCTTGTGGGGTTGGACAAAAAGCTGCGACGGCAGACTTTCCATGCGTCGTAGTAGTAGTGTTTCCGAAGCCAGCCCAGGTGTGGATCATGTGTTCCGCAGCTGGGCAGCGATGCATAACGAGCTTTAGACAGTGTGGGGCCCACGTCACCTGCAAATCACCGAGGCAAAACAGAGCCCAGGAATTGCGAAAGTATACTTGATGGACACAAGACGCGTTTAGCAACGGGCACGCAGGTTCGCTCTCGCCGTGCAAAGATGAAGTTGCAATATTGTTGCAATTGTCGGCTCAAGTATACTCTGCTGCATATTGTATAGCGTGTTTGTTTGGCATTGCAGTCTTTGCTTTCCTAGTGTCAGTTTCCCGTCCCCTCAAAGATATCTGACAAATCTGTTTTTTTGGGGCAAGAGCCAACAAATTTGGCCAATCGCTTTGCAATGGGACGACGTTCAGTTCAGTGCTGTTGGGGTATTGGCACGTCTTCTGGTTCTCCGGCCACTGCGCTGTCCCTGACCTTGCTTGCAGCTTTGAAGAAGGCCTGTGTAGCTGGTACACATCCTCGGGCGGGGGTGGTCCTTCTTATCAATGGGAGCGGCGCTCTGGCTCCACACCACCACCTGGTACAGGGCCAGATGGAGCCAAAGATGGGAGTTATTAGCTCTATGTCGAGGCTTCAGGCCCGAACAATCCGAGCAAGGCGTGGGGGTGCAAGGTGATGCGGGATGTGATTTTTGCTGCTTTGTTGATTTCTTTATGAAAGCCAAGGTGAGAAGAGATAACCAGGTAGCTTGATTCACCATGCTCTTTAATGATTCGCTTCAATTATGCTTTGGGTCTTTGCTAGGAATGCTGCCTATGTACTACTGCACTTCTTACAAATTACTCACCATGAGGTGTTGGATTTTTTTATGGAATTTTGACATGTTTGGCGTGCACACAACGTGCGAACCCTGTAGTCCTTCTACTTGTACAGCCCAACGTTTTCTTCCGAAGAAGATTGGCTGTTCAGCTTTGGCTATTACATGTCCGGCATCAACATGGGCTCGCTTCATCTTGAAGGATCCTCGGGTGGTCAAGGTTATGTCAACTTGTGGAAATCAGTTGGCGATTCTGGCTCGGCTTGGTACACCGCGCATCTGATCATCTCGCACACTGTGACGAACTTGCGACTTCGGGGATTGACAGGGTCCGGTCCATCCAGTGACATTGCCGTTGATGCCTTTCAGAAACTTGGCTTGGCAATTGACACATATCTCAAGCTCTGTGTGGGCGAATGTAGAACGTAGAGATCGGCGCAGCGTTGGTGACGACCGATCGGCACAGGGAGCATTTGAGCCAACCGACAGCAAGCGTTTGAGTCGCCCAAGTACTCCCGAACTTCACCCTGCGCACAGCTACAATTGCACCGACATAGACTCCCATGTTTACATTCCAGGCAAATGGGCGCTACTGGGTGCCTGCCGAATGCAACAACAAGCACAGACGCGAGCGGGGCTTTCCAAGAGCGAAATGTTTGCATTCGCATTGGGAAGAAGCTTTCAAATGACTTTCCGCAGGATAATGATTTTTTCCAGTTTGAATCGCACTTTTTGGTTCTGTAGATAACTTTGCCTGAGATTCTACTTTCGATGAACTCCAAATTGCTGTGGCTCTCTACTAAAGTTGGGGGCACTTGATCCGTCTGTTTCAAGGGATACAGCCCAGATCTTGACACTGCTATTGGTTCTTGTTTTCTTGATGGTGCGCTGGTTTGTTAGGTGGGGGCGCCACGCGCTCTTCCCCCCAACCCTCCTCCCGCGCCCCGGAATCTGCGCATGGTATTCCTACTTCCTAGCCTACCACGAAATCAAGATTTTAGGTGGAACTGGTGCGGTGGCTGGAGAATTGAGCAACTTACTGCAGTCATGGTCGGCTCTAGATGGGCGAGACGAACACACTTCGAACTTCGAACTTGGGTTTTCAGTTAACGCAATTGTCTCAATGGGAAGG